CTGGCTCAAGGTCGACTCAGCCTTCCAGTCTTCCGAGGTCAGTAAAATGAGGACCCAGATTATTGGGGGCGAGAGGCTGACTCCGTAAACGGTGTAGAGAGGGCTGGGAAGTACTGGGAAGTGGTATATAAATCTAAGGGCTATTGCTACCTTCCCCCCCCCCCCCCCCCCTACTGGTTAGAATGCAGTATTGCGGGCAAACTCGGCCCACTGGCAGCAGTTCGATCCTGACCGGCTCAAGACTGACTCAGCCTTCTGTCCTTCCGAGGTGAGCAAAACGAGGACCCAGATTGTTGGGGGAAGCAAGAGGCTGACTCTGTCAAGCGCTTAGAGAGGGCTGTGAAGGCACTGTGAAGCGGTATATAAGTCTCAGGGCCCTTGCTATCTCAAGTAGAGAGAACATTGCTCCTTAGGCAGACTCTTCTTCTTTCTTCTTCCCCCCCTGGCCGAACCAAGCCAATGGTGGCTCTCCCCCACCCACGCCGTCTACCTGTGGTCATGTCTTCCAGCATCTCCAGCAACATGTCCTGGGTCTCGTCAATCAGCTTGGTGCGCTGCACCACCAGTTTCCGCAAGCAGAGGTAGCCGTTCAGCACCGTCCCCACCAGCCGGCTCTTGAAGTGGCGCTTGATGGACTCAACTTCCACAAAGGAGGACAGGAGGCCTGGCAGGAGAGGGGCAGGGATGGCCGCTGAGCCACAGGGGGCTGGCCGGGGGGCCCAGAGCCCAGGGAAACCCAAGGGGAGATGGGTGGGCATGGGGGGTGGGTGGGGGGAATCCCTTGCGGCTGTCCTACCGGTGATGCTCTTGAGAGCGTAGCCCTGCTGCAGGTCGGTGCTGAGCGTGGCTTCCTCCAGGGCCAGGAGACGGGCGATTTCCTGGAACAAGAGAGGTGTCCAGCCTTGAAGAGGCCCAGAATGGCCAGGAAGGAAGGAAGACGGACCAAAACTGCCCCCTGGGAGCGAGGGAGGCTGAGCATCCCACCCCCCAAAAAGGGGCTCCTTTTAACCGTCCAGAGTCTGAGCTAAATGTCTCAAGGAGCAAGCCGTGGCTTTTCCAGCTCTTTTGAGACTCCATTACCCATCTTCCCCGTCCGCTGTCCTTTGTTGGGACGAGCCAATGAATCCTCTGGAGGATCAACCAGATTCCAAAGCAGGGAGGGGTTTTTTTTTTACTGCTTCAAAACGGAGCCAGAGGGCCGGAGTCCCCTCCCACAGGGCTCCGTACCTTGGTGATCAGGTTGCCGATATAAGGCAGGACGCCCCTGGCTGCTAGGTAGACCTTCCAGCGGGCTGGCTTGATGAGCTTCTGGTAGAGGGCCAGGTACTCTGCGGCACACTCTCCCGCCACGCTCAGCTCGTCCAGGTAGCTGGCAGGAAGAAGGGAGGAGGAGGAGGAGGAGGAGGAGGAAGAGGAGGAGAAGAACGACGACATCCAGAAGTCAGAAAGCCGAAGGGGGGCAGTAGGGCCCCCCCTTCCGCACCTGCCCTGGGCCTTACCTGGTCAGCAGGTCAAGGACTTGCTGCTTGCGGCTGGGGATGGTGGCCAGGGCTTCCACGATGGTGCAAGCCGCCTGCCGGGCTGCTTGGGTTGCTGGGGTGAACAAGACCTGGAAACGGGGGAAGGAGAAGGCAGGCGATGCCCCCTGGGCCCTCACGTGGCATGGATCCCGCCTCATTCCGTGGAGAATCTTCTTCCCCGGCCCTCAGGATGGCTCTGCTTCTGGGCACTGCCTTCTCAAAGCACCTGGCCTTTCTTCCTCCCCCTCCCCCTTCCTCCTCTTCTCCTCCTCCTTCTTTTTCTCCTCCTTTTCCTTCCCCTCCCTTCATTTTTCCTTTTCCTTCCTCTCCTCCTCCTCCTCCTTCCTCTTCCTCCTTCCTCTCCTCCTCCTCCTCTTCCTTCCCCTTCTACCTCTTCTCCTCTTCTTCTTCCACTCCTCCTCCTCCTTCCTCTTCCTCTCCTTTTCCTTCGGCTTTCCCTTCTCCACCTCATCTTCTTCTCCTTTTCCTTCCTCACCTCCATCTTCCTCTTCTTCTCCTCTTCCTTTTCCTTCTCCTTCCCCTTCTTCCTCTCCTCCTCTACCTCCTCTTTCTCCTCCTTCACCTTTTTCCTCTTCTCCTTCTTCCTCCACTCCTTCACCTCCTCCTCTTCTTCCTCCTCCTCCCCACCCCCATGCGTGCGTGGGTGTGTCTCACCTGCCGCAGCCAATTGTTGTGTCCCAGCTTGAGGTCCAGGGGGCAGGTCCTCTTCCCCCGCTTGCTCATGAACTGCTTCCACTTCCAGGCGTACTTCTCCGTCAGGTAGAGGTGGCGGAGCTCCGTTCGGCTGGGAGATTTCCCGTTGGCGTCGAGGCCTGAAAGACGGCGATGGGAGTGAGCTGCAGGGCGGATTGGCTGCCCTTCTCAAGGCTGAGCATCCTCGGCCTTTCCTCTCCCGGCTACGGGCGGAAGCCAGCAAAGGGAGGTGGGAGGCATACGGTTCTGACCGGCATAAAACACGGTCTTCGTTCCGGCAAAGCCTCTTTTATTTCCACGGCTGTGAATTACGTCCATTCCCAGCCTGCAAGGCTTCACAAACAGTCTTCCAGGGGAATGTTGATAAACACACACACACACACACACACACACACACACACACCCCATTGCACTTGGAATGCGGCCAGAGAGCCAGGGCAAGGCCAAAGGTGACACAGAGTCAAACAGAACTTTTCAAAGCTTGAATTGATCAGACGAACTAATTGCTTCCTGCAAAAGCTCACATCCCCTTCGCTCCTCTTTTGTGTCCTATGGGAGGGGCCAATCATCTCCGAGGTGGGGCCTTACTCCTGAGTCGACCCTGCTTTCTCACCTGTTCTTGTCTTCTGGAAGCCCTGTGCATACGCAGGCAGGGAACCGGTTCCAGAAACTCCCCCGCTGTCTGAGCCGGAAGGCAGCCGATGACTGCCAGCCTGCCCTGGCCCCATCCCTGCCTCCGACGACGCAGAGCCCTCGTCTGAGCCCTCCCCAGCCTCCAAGACTGGCCCAGGTTCCTCCCCAACCTCCTCCCTACTGTCCAACTCTGTTGCCAGCTCTGTCAGCTGCCCGCGAGCCACAACAACACACACCTCTGGCAGGGAGGCACTTCTTCCACACCTCGTAGGCGGCCTTTGGATCCCTTTTGAGCCACAGCTGGGCCTGGGCGTGGATCTCGTTGCTGTAGGGCTTGACCGTGGTCAGGGAGTCCACTGGCATGTCCTGGGGAGCCCAACAAGAGAGTCTGGAAGAGCCCTCGGGACATCGCTGCTATAACCGGCTGCCCACACACCTGAGGCTGGGATGGGGGATGGGGGAGGAAGGGAGACAAGCCAGGCAGGTACCTTGTTCTTCTTGCTGGTGGGTGCCGGGGGCTTGATCAGCTTCTGAAGGATCCGTAGGCACATCAGCGTGATGTTTTCCACAACCACCGGGGTCTTGATGTTCACGGCCATGAGGAAGAGGCTGAGGGCTGGGGAGAAACCAACGGGGGGAGTCAGAATCGGTCCAGAAACTCCAGAAACGACGTTTCTCCCTCCCCTGCTGACTTCTGTCCCAGCGGGGATGGCGTCTCTCCTCCCCCTGGGGTGGGTGGGAGCAGGTTCTTTGGGCCTTCTCCCCAGGGGTGGGCTTCAAAAATTTTAGCAACAGGTTCTCTGCTCGGTAGCTGAGTGGGCGTGGTCATGGTGGGTGGGGCCTACTCGGCCTCCTACACCATGGCGGAGCGTGTGAGTTTTTACCGTCCCTGGACTCCTGAGGCTTTCCTCGAGACTCCGGGAGGATGAAAACGGCCTCCCGGGGCTCCGGAGGCTCTCTGGAAGCTGGAAACAGACCCATTTCCAGCCTTCCCAAACTTCTGGGAGGCCCGATTTTCGCCCTCCCCGAGACTCTGCGTGGGCCCTGAACTTACCTGCATCCAAAATGGGCTGCATGGGGCCTCCTGGGAGGGGAGGGGTAGGAGGAGCCAGCCAGGAGTGGGATTGGGGGGGTGGGGGTTCTCCAAACTGCACAGAATCTTAGCTTGGGGCTCACCCAAACCCCTGCCAACCCCCAGCAGCACCCACCCGCTTCTCCGTCTCCTTTGCCACCCACACTTCCCGCCAGAACTGGCCTCCCAGGGCTCACCACAGCGGAGGCGCAATTCCCAGCAACTGTCCTCCTTGGAGATGGAGTCCGTCAGCAGCAACATCTCGTACTGAAGGCTGCTGGCCTGCAAGGGCGGGGAGGGAGGAGGACAGAGTTACGGGGTGTTGCATCGATGTTCCCCGGGTTGCTGATGGAGCCAGGGAGACGTTGAGGCCGGTTCAACATCCCTTTGGCAGGAGAAGGAAAGGACCGCCTTGGGGTGCCAAGGCTGGAAGACCCTTTTACGGAGGAGGCCCCAGCCCAAGGGGCGACCAGAGAGGGAGGGAGGGAGGGAGAGGAAGAGGATGGCCAGTGCTGCTCACCAGGTCAGGATTGGCCCAGTGGCCCTTCAGAGCTGCGGACACTTTGCTGATGATGAGATCGTTCATCTGCTGGGTAGCTTCTGGGTTGTCTCTGGTTGCAGACAAGAGGATAAAAGAAAAGCATCTTTAGATAATGCAGGAAGGCACCAGGCACCTTCTCTCACGTGTGGTGGTGGTGTTGGAAAGCAAAGAAATTTTGGAATAAAAACCAGGATCCGGTTGCAAGAAATAATTGGTTTAAAAATAGAACTGACGCCTGAAATGTTCTTCTTAGGAATATATCATTAGAGGTGATTACAAGAAAGATATTGACTATCTAATAATACATATATTGACAGCAGCTGGAATAACATAGGCCCCAAATTGGAAATTAGAGAGTAGTCCCACAGATAATATGATTATAAAAACAAATTATGGATTTTGCAGAAGTGAATAAACTTACAATGGAATTGCAGGAGAAGGAAGAAAAAGATTTCAATATGGTCTGGGAAAATGGTATGTTTGGTTAGATAACAGGAATAAAAGACAATGCAAAATGTAAATGATGTACGTACGTACGTACGTATGTATATACGTATGCATAAATGAATACAGAAAAGTTGATGCCACAACTTACTGCAAAAAATTGTATATATGATTTGTTTTTAATAGCGTAAAATTTAATAATTTTTTTAAAAAGCATCTTTAAAGTGTCACAGGGAGCTCCAACACATACGCACACAAATACACAAATAGTTCTTATATCCGGCTCCTGTAATAACACTTCCTGAGAGAACACGAAAGCTCACTAGCCAGTTGTGTTAGCTGCTAGAAACAGCTGGATGGCCCCAAGTCCCGCCCACCTTGGGTGCCTGTCTCATCTCCCGCTCATTTCCCTGGACTGTTAATTGGCCGGTTTCTTGTAGAGAGCTTAAGCCCGCAGTAAATCCTTATACTCGTTTGAATGGGTCTGAATCTCCCGATTTCCCCGTGCTTGACGGGCGGGTCAAGAAGTACAGATGGAAGGTAGATGGATGGAAAGATGGAGAGAGGGGATAGAAGTCACGGATGGAAGCTTATCAAAGAGAGATTCAACCCTCCGTGAGATCTCCCGAGAAATAGGGAGAAATTTCCCGACAGATCAAGGAATCCGTGGGACGGCTTATCTCCAGAAGTTGTCCATGCTCCATCAATGGCAGTTCTCAAAAAGAGATTGGGCAGACGTTTGTCTGGAAGCCTCAAACAGAAGGTTGGACTAGAAGACCTCCAAGGTCCCTTCCAACCCCATCGTTCTATGTTTTAAGTACGTCCCTCTGAGTTCAAATCAGCTTTAACTGATTGTCAGGTCTGCCATCTTCGCCTTGGCGCCTCGCCGGCATCCTGCCATCAAAGGCTCGGAGTGGGGAAGGACACGGGAAGAACAAATAGGCAAGGAACATGTGTAGAGTTGTGATGGGAAATAGAGAGAGGGGGGGAAGGACAGCTTGAAGGAACCCAGGGAAGCAAGAAACCGGCTTGCGCCAGCCCTTTGTGGTCGCGCCCTCTGAGACTGGAATGCGGACTACCCCAAACACCTATGCAGTTCATCATTCGGTGAAGACAAACTGGCTGGGATAAGGGGAAAACTTTCTAGCTTCTTCATGTGGGAAATTTAGTTCCAGCCTGATTTTACTACGGCTAGCATTTTTTAGTAAAAGAATTCGTCACTTCAACCAAATGGGAGTCGAGGGTCTTTCTTTCCTAAGGGATCAGACCGGGGCAGGTCTGACACTGATCTTCAGTACTGAGCAGGTTCAAAGGCCCAAGGTTCTCCACAGGCAAAGCTGATCCAATGCAAGAGGCTGCCTGAGTGCCGTTGTTACCTGCCCTTGGCAAAGGGCCAAAAGGAAGGAGGGAAGGAGAGGCAGCTAGCCGAGGCCCACCTGGTGAGGAGGCACATGAGCTGGCGGACGTCCTCCCGCATGCTGGCAGCCCCTCGGCGCAGGTTGTAGTCGAAGAGCTCCCGGATGAGGCCCTGGGAGACCAGGATGTGGCGGATGGCGGCGTTGCTGGCCAAAGCCCGGAGCAGCGTGATGCAGTGCTCGGTGACGGCCGAGGCGCAGCCATAGCATTTGGTGGAGGAGGTGTGACCGCAACCCAAGACTGAGAGGGCACGGTACTGGCTGGCGGTGAAGGTGGGCTGGACGGCTGAGCGGGAGGACTTGCTGGCGGCTTCTCTCTGCTGGAGGTCGTACTCTAGGAGCTCCTTCCGGGAGGCGAACACTTTCTGTGGGGAGAGGTTAGAGAAGAGAGGGGGCTGAGCCAGGGTGGGGGCATAACACGGCCTCAGGTGATCGAGGAGCTGAACTTCCACCAGAGCAGCCAAAGGCCGACTAGCATCGGGGTCCCCGACCCCCTTTGCCGCGGCCCGCTACGGGTCATGAGCTGTTCAGGACCAGGCCGCCCGAAGCAACAGAAGAGCAGATACGTGCACTCCGTTTGCAAGAGTGGAGGCCGAGCTTGCCCACGGCTCGCACTAACGGAGCTGCACACACATGGACGCTTGTCCACCACTTGTGTGGAATGACCCCTCCACCTGTCCGCAAAGCCGGAAAGGTTGGGGAGCTCTGGACTAGCAGCCCTATTCAGCCCTGACGAAGCCCGGCCTGAATCCACCAGCTGTTTCTGACCTCAGCAGCCAACCTGCTGAAAGAGGGTGGGGTGGGGGGGGTGGCCTGGGCTGGAGCAAGGCCCGTTCAAGGGGCAATCTGGCAGCCGCTGTCCCACTCTGCTCGGACGATGGAAGGGATTACCTGGATGATCTTGGAGAGCTCGTCAAAGGAGTTCTTGCAGTCACCACAATACTCTTGTGCCAGCTGGAGGATGTACCTGTTCACGCTGGCCGAGGTGGAGCTGAGGCCTCCGCTGCCCCCGGAGTCATCCTGGCACGGGAAGGAGAAGAAAAAGTCAGGCCAGGGTGGCTTCGCCTCGCCTTGCCCGGAGTCCACACAGGGCGGCCTCTCCGCCTCTCGCTACCTGCGGCTTTTCGGGCGCTGCCTCGTTCACTTTGCACAGCAGGTTCTCCAACTGGGGTCGGTGGCCCATCAGCTGGTGGTACACCCGGTCGGCCTTGTCCAGGAGGGTGTTGATGTTGGTCACAGCCTGGCGGGTGAAAAAAAACGCCACGGCGCCCCGATTATGTGTTGGCTTAACTAAACAACCCTGGGCTCCCAAGGCTTTGGGGACAGCAACATTCCCGCCAACGTCTCTCCCGTCAAGGGTCAGCAACCTGCGGCTCTGGAGCCACATGTGGCCCTTTCCTCCCTCTCGGCTCCACGAGTGATAGGGCTTTCGGTTAGGACAGGTAGAGGAAAAAAGAATGCCGTGCTAGGAAGAGACTCTATAGTGGGGGGAACCAGACGTCGGGTCAGCTCCAGAACTGAGTGGGGAGCTTCCGGTTAGGACCTTTGTAGCTCTTGGGAGTGTTCAAGGTTGCTGATCCCTGCTCTGGGTAATAAAGCTTGTGGGGAAGGCGCGACCTGCTCCCAGGCAGTGAACGGAGGCTCTCTGGCTCACTCCAATGCCCGGCCCAGGGGCCAAGCTCTTTTTCCGATCCAAACCAGGCAGTAGGTCACTCCCAGTTTGAGCACGACCCCAAGTTTCGGGTAAGGCATGAAAAATGTTGAAAAAAAGGTCCTAAGTCACTTTTTTCAATGCCGCTGTAACTCTGAATGGTCACTAAACGGGCTTTTGTAAAGCCAAGGATTAACTGTACTGTGTTGGGGGTGGAACAGATCTTCTAAAGAAGGACAATCGGTTTTCTGGGGGAAGCGAGGCAGCAAAATCTCCCTCCTTCCCCTTCCCTTTCCCCCCCCC